TTATGCTAAATAAGGTATGAATCTAAAAAGCAAGCAATTTTAGAATTCTACACACTTCTAAAATAAGGTTTTAAGATTAATTATACTTTCTGTATCTGAAATAATATGACTCAGTTTTAAGTATTTAGATCATATTTCAAGTTATAGCATTCATGCTTTTAATATTAAAGTTTAATACACATCTGAAATTCCTTTTTAAAAAAATTCCATTTTGTGGAAATCCAAAGTCTGTAAATTTTCACTGAAATTAATAATAAATTTTAAAAAATTCCATTTTGAAAAGCAAAATTTTAATAGATCACTAGTGATTTATAGGGAGAGACTTTAAGCTAATTTCTTGGTATTTTTAGCTGACACTTCTAGTTGACTAATCTTCTTGAACACAGAGCTCATAATGAACTTACTGATTAGTAATAAATATACTTAACAAACAAATATAAGTTATTTTAAAATTTTTAAGAGAATAGGAACTAAATTTTAAGGTGTGAGTTCTTCCTTGAAATGCTAAAAGTGCTAAATAAAATTAATCAATTCTGTAAGAACTCTAAGACAGAAGAACACAAATATAATTGAAATTATTTTCTAACCAAAGCTCCAACTTCAATATTAAAAAAACCCAACCCAAAGCAACAACAACAAAACTCCCAACAAAATATCTCTTTTTTGTGTCTTCAAGAAGTTTTCCAAATGATTTGTAAATGTCAGGGAACTCTACTCTAACTCTATTATTTCATGTGTCATGTTTAACTAAAGTATAGTGGTAATCCATGCTACATATATTTACTTCTATTGCTTATCTGATTAACTCAAACTAAAATTCTTAGTACTTACCAAGATACTTTAATTTTCTATTAAATGACCATTTATATGCTGTTGGCTTACCATTATACGCAGAAAAAGGAAAAAACGAAAACTACAGTTTCCATAGACGTGACTGCTGGGCTTTATGTTATGATGTAATACCTATTGTTTTATCTTCCAAATAAGACACAAGTTTTTTAACATCTACTTGCCAATGAAAAAACTCTTTACAACTTTAAAAGGTGTACACAGTTTTGTGAACTTATAATCATCACATATATACACACACAAATAAACATACAGTCACACAGCCGTATTGTTGGTGTTCTTTTCTGTGTTAAACTAAAATTAGACATTTCCATGGGATGAGTCAGACTATGTTTAGACCATATCACCATGGATAAGTTCACATTATCATTTGAAATACTGGCCTTTTAATACAATGAGAAAGCATATTAATTAAACAAATGAGAAAGATATACTTTCTTGTAAGAAAGGTAAAAATGTAAGCTGGCAACAAACGTTAACGACTTTAAATCAATGATGTTCACTGAACTCGTCTTCAATCCATTTATCGCACCATCCTGAAGAATGGAAATGCTTTGATAATATTCACCTTCTTTTCTAAGACATCAGCAGTCACCAGAGCTGTAAGTTCTTAAAAACTTCAATAATGTATTTGGCAGATAATTTCTTACAGTCCAAATTTTTTTTTTTCTTCCACAGGCAATGCTGGTTCTTTGGGTTCTTGCTTAACTTGGCTCACTGAAATGGTATGGTCTGGAGTTTCTTCAACTTAAAAATCAAACACAAAAGAAAAGTCCTAAAGATTAATACACTTGCCATCTTTAAACTTACTAAATTTAGAAGTAAAGCACAAAACAGTAGTTTGGAAAAAGAAGTGATTTAGAAAAGTTAATGTGTTTGAGACGCAATGCTTTTGATATATTAAATCACTTAGTATGGTTCTAGTAATGAAAAAAAAATAGAGAAAACCATAAAGTTATCCTCTTAAAGATCCTTGGTGAAAAGCCACCTTCAATTTAATAAAATTATAGGGACCATCATTGATTTAAAGCCAACTGTGTTTTAAAATATGTACGAATAGATGTCAAAGAATCTCCCAATTTACTAGCATGTATGTTTTGCTGTTTACAGGTACACAGATTCTCGATGAGCTAACATATCCATATGGTACCCACATGTGATTATATATCAAGGATAATTTTTCTTCCCTTAAAGAACTTGACTGGATCAGTATTTAAGTGGGGGTGGAAAGTCACATCTTAAATGACGGCTTTGACTTTGTTCTCAGCTGTTTCTTGAAGTCCTAAAATATTGCATAATGTTATTTATATCTGATATTTTATGTATTTACAATGAAAAAAATACTCTCTGGCTTCTTGAGGAGTGGCAGGTATGAGGGCTCCAGGCACCGGTGGTGTTCTTTTTGCCCCACATGGGGGTTGGCAGAGCAGACTCGCCAAATGAACTGGGGGTCTGTGGCCCAGAGTTTGCCAACTTTTGGGCGTGCCAGGATGGTAAGATACTGAAAGGCCCAAACATTCCTCTAGGTCGTATAGCCCTGGTTTGTTTACTTGTCGTACAGCGGTAACTTGTGGTTGCTGTGAAGCTAACACTGTGACACTGATGTGTCAAATGCGCTAATGGTTGGTTACCCAATTCGGATAGTGTGGGGCAGAGCTCCCCAATTAAACAAGCTTGGAAGCAGGAGTAGCATCCACTTCCGTAATAGCTTGTCTCTGGAAACCCTATGAACCTGGAGAGAGGATGAAAGACACACAAGCGTTGAGGACTCTCCTTCATAGGGTCGCTATGAGTCACCTGCGACTCACCGGCATTTAACAACAACAACAACATATTCCACATATCAGAATTACCACTGTAAACTGGTAAGTGAGAAGTTTAAGACTGAATTTTCATTTTCTCAGGAATATCTGTTTTTCAGTTGCTGTAGGGCACAGAGACTAACAAGAGCAGATTTGCTCAGAAAGTATAATAAAGCACTTATTTAATACACTGGAGCTGACTCAACAGCACTTGACCACAACAGTTTCTTACATCAAGGTTGTTGGAATTTAGCCTCAGCTACAGAAAACTAACAGAGGATGGACTGTGGTGACTCTATAACTTTATATTCAGTTTAAGAATCTCCACAGATTATGATCTAATTTGATAATTTATTGAAGTTTGGATTCAATGACAGGCTTCTTTAAAGCAATCTGGGTTAGAGTTCCCATAAACCCCTTGCTGTAACATAAAGGAAGCAGAAAAGAATGGAAAGAAGTTTTGATGGAAGACACTTATGGCTTTAAATATCTTCTCTGTCATTTACTATATGTGATCTTTACAGAATTACTTCTCTGAGTCTTGGTCTTATCAAGTAATGTGGGGATCTCCCCTAGTTTCTATAAAGATATTCTTTGCATGTCAGCCTTCAGCATGCTATCTTCTCTGTACTATTTCAATTTTAGTGTATGTGCTGCTGAAGCAAGCACTATAATGATATTTCTGGTTAAATAGTATAAAATATCTCTGATGAAAAACCCACCAAAGAAAAGGAAAAACACAGTCTAAAAGTTATTAATGAAAAGTTTCCCTTCCTCCCATTTTAGTTGATTCACTGAATGTAAAACCAACCCACTGAGTAGAAATAATGGCTTATTTTGTGGTGTGATAAGGATAATAATTCATAAATACAGAACAAACAAAGAAATAACATCCTAAATTGCTTTTAACTTACTAAGAGTGGGATGGCTGTCTATAATCCGTATTGGAATGGTCTGCACATCTCCCAATAGAATCTGAGGAACATTTCCTTCTAGGTGTTCTGTATCCTCAACATCTCCAACTTCCACCAGCTGATCCATTGCAACTAAAGTCTGATCTGGTCCTGGAGAGTTACCCATGGCAGAGGCAGTATTATTGTTTGGCGTTAGGCATATGTCTGTTTGAAGGCTATGACTCTGACCAAGTAATGGAGAATTATTACTCATTACAGCACTTCCTAATGAATCCAGAAGTCTTGAAGGACTGGAGGACAGGTTGTTATTTACTGATATCAGAGCTGGTGATTCATCAGGAGAGGTGAATCTTGTTGGTAACTGCAAACCCTTTTAAACAAAAACAGTAGTATCAAAATGTTTTATTTATCATGCATAATTTTTGCATAGGCTTTATTATTCTTTTGACACAAAATTGGAACAAAGATGAGTATAACAACAAAAACCAAACCTGTTGTATCAAGTTGAGTCTGTCTCATAAAGAACTTATAGAAAAACAAAAGAACTACATCATAGAGTCTTTAAGTCTGAAAATCATTACAGAAGCAGACAGCTACATATGTCTCTTATGGACCTGCTGGTAGTTTCGAACTGCCAATCTTTTAGTTACCTGTAGAGAACATGATCATGTCACCACCAGGGTTATTTCACAAGTGTATAATCCATCATCACTGAGTCAAATTCAACTGATGCTGCATAGTTACTATCATATATTAAGTAAGAATAGAAAAGAGTACCAAGGGAAAAGTAGTACTAAAAAATTTTAATGCAGTCATAGTCAACAGCTTTTTTCAAACCAAACTATTTGAATTACCATCTTAAATCAAGAAACAAAAGATCAAGAACCTGCTAATGAAAATATTTTTTACCATAATCATTTTATAAGAATTTTCTGAAAATCTCTAGGAGAAAAATATTAAGACAGAATGAGAAGGGATTAAAATTATACTAGCTCACCTACCTGCAACTGTGCAAATATTTTGGGCTGAAATGAGGAAAGTGAAGAAAACAACTGGGTTGGCTCTGGAGACAAAGAACTCCTTGTCTGATTTGCTTCCACTTTGGTAGAAATTGATTCTCCTGGCGAATTACCTAAGTGACATAAAAAAAATAACCTCTTAAAATAGAACCATTTCTATATATTTCTCAGATATTATCCTTTATTACAAATCTTACTAGAATTGGTAGGAAATAAGGCCAACGGATTGCCCAGGACTTTAAGACGTAGTTATCTATGTCACTATTTCCAGAAAATGGCAGAGTGACTAAATGACACAGGGCACTTACAAAATAGAAAACACTGAAATATGAAAAAAAATACATGTATATATGTATGTTCTGTACAACAGAATACATTTAGATAACAGAAATGGCAAAGGAGGTTGAGTTTTCAAGTATGGAAATACAAAGGAAGAGGAACAGTTGTAAGCAGATACTGGTGACTGGGACATGGAATGTGAGAACCATGAATATAGGAAAATTAGATATTGTTAAGGAAGAAATGGAACACATAAATATTGACATACTAGGCACTGGTGAGATGAGATGGACTGGCATGGGGCATTTTGAGTCGGATGACCATATGATATATTACTCTAGAGATGAAAAAGTGAGGGAAAATGGAGTTGCTTT